GGCGGGGTGGGGGGGCTGTCACACCAGAAGCTGACCCCCCGGGGGGATGGGAGGCATGGATGGGGACGTCTCCACCCTAGACTCCAAACGCCAGGACTGCACAGGTGTTGGGCTGCGGACGAGCCCCGAGGCAGAGCCCCAGCCCTCGCCCGGGCTGCATCCGGCCCCGACACTGTCTATGCCGGGAGTCCTACTAGCGGCACCGGGCACCGGGGAGGGCGGGGTGAAAAGGGGGAGTGGGGCCACCCGCCCCAGGGAAGGGTGCAGTGCCACGGGAGGCTTCTGAAATCCTGACTCTGTGCTTCACCTCGTTAGGCACGGCCCACCCCTGCCAGCTAAGAAGACCGTGCAAAGATTTCCCTGTGAGGCCCCGGCAGGGAGGGGCAGGCAGTTCTCACACCGCTGCTGCAAGTCGGGGACGCTGCCCCCTCCCCTCGGCTGCTACCGGGTCCTCCCCGCGCCGGTTAACCTAGTGTCTCTGTAAGAAAACCCAGCTGTAGCGTCCGCACGGCCCGTGGGCTTCGGATCGGCCGGTTCTGCCGAAGCACACGTACGTGTCCAGGGACGGCTTTTCCGTTCCCCGCGTTCAGACGAAACGAGCTCTTTTTACCTGGTTAAAAAAGACGTGAGCTTCTTTGGCTTATTTTATTTTAGTCTGTTCAGAACATGCTGCTAAACAAAATGGGACGAATCTCTGCTCTAAGTCAAAGCCAATCCTAGTACGGGCCGAACTCACAGGCCTGAGGGAAGGGAGGGTGGAGTGAGGCGGGGAGGGAAGAAGGGAGCATGTGGCCAGGCCCCTCCCCTTTCCCACTTCCCTCCCTCCTTCCGGGAGCCCCCTTCATCAACCTTGGGGGCCTTTAGTTTAGCAAATCCCTTTCACACTCGACTTTGGTTTTTTTTTAAAGACCCAGAAATCTGGATATTGGCTCAGCTCAATCTGGGAAAGCCCAGGTGCTTTGGGTCCCAGGCACTGTGCCCTTCCAGCCGGTGATTCACGCGCCCGATTTCCCTTCCATGCTACCGTGTGCACGCACTCCTCACACATCCTCGAGGCTCTCCAAGCCCGTTCACTTAACTGTGGGCATCTTGCCCCGACATTCGGAGAAATGGGTTTCTCTTCTACGCTTACCCAGCACTCACCCGAAAAAGATCTGGTTGTCGGCCCCCGGTCCCGAACCGTCTCTGACAAGAAGTAACACATCCCGGAGTCACTGACTCCTGTTCCCTAGAAATGGAAGGACAGAGGGAGGAGGAGGGAGAATACGGGTCTCGTATCATCGTCAACAGATGTTTTACCCACGACATTTCGGCAACACTAGTTTAGGGACGAGCCAGTCGTAAGACACGGGGGACGGAGGATGTACGAAACACCCAGTCCCTCAAACTTTGAAGAAACTTGCAAACTTGTGTGGAAAACAAGACAGAGCAACAAGTCACGGGCACCGAGGCCAATGGCAGGTAGCATCCGCGAAGGACCAGGTATGCCATTCACAACACGTGCTAGAGAGTGAGACCTCGGGGGACAATAATACTTCACAGGGACAAGCACCAGGCAAGGGATGATAACAATCTACGAGGTCTGGCTAGAACACATTTGATGGAACGTTCAAGAAACATCAGCAAATGCTGAGTTCCTCTTATGTGGATGGTAAGGGTACCATTCGAGGAACAGGGATAGAAGACATGACACCGGCCAGGAGGGATGGACGGCCTCACTGGGCTTTGCTCTGCTCTCCTGCACAACTCCCTCCTGTCCGCCAACCCCAAGCCTTGCTAACTCTTACGACGCCCTTCTCAGACCAAAACGCCTGTTAAAAGCCATGGCT